CAGAGCTCAAAAGTGTGGGATCATTTTAAGAAAATGAAAGAAACCTGTACAATATCTGCAGAGCAGAACTTGTCTTCCACAGCAATTATTTTTAGTTAGCATATAGCTAAAATCTAACCATGGTTATATACAATAGCAGCTGCATTCTGGCACAATAAGCTGTATGTTTTATATTCAATTAACATATGATCCGATTAGTCGACTAATCGAAAAAATAATCGGTGATTAATCGRWTATAAAAATAATCGTTTGTGGCAGCCCTAGTTGAGTCATTACGATAGCTTTTTAGCTTTACTAAATTAGCACATGCTCTGTGCGTCCACGTCCACTCTGAGTAAACAAACGAAGCTTCACCTGGTGGGGAGGCATGTAAAGCCTGGCAGCACGCGGTGGGAATTTAATGTTTTTATTGCGAGATGACAAGTTATTACCATGGTGAATGTCTTTGACGGTATGTCGCACACGATAACATATCGCCCATCCATAATAACAACTAATAAAAACTATCAAATCCACTGTAAAAGCTAATTAAAACTAACTGAATTAAAAGAAAAAAGTCAAAACAAAATAAAACTAAACTATAATAAAAAATCCAAAACTATTATAACCTTGATCCCCAACCAGAAATTTATTTTTTTATTTTTAAAAGCTACTCAAAATTATGCACTGCCAGCCATTTGAAAAGCAYTTTACTAAGTTCTAAGAATTAATCTGTATACTATGAAGATAGAACACGTACAACTAGCATTTAAGGTTAACCTTATCTGAAATCAGAACTGAAACTTGGATTGCTCACTTTGGGGTCTGATGGGACTAGATAAAGCTCTACATAAATTTTGACCATTTACCATGTAGTAACAAAGCAGCTGAGAAACACAGAACCAGTGACATTCATAAAACAGAGATTATTCTACAGACTAAAACACCTATAATCAGAAAAAGACATACAATCTGTACAGAACAATGTACTTGGTGAGGCTGTGGCAGAGTGGTTAGGGGAGTCGTCCTGGAACCGGAAGGTCACCTGTTCGATCCCCCATCCAGCTGTCTCAGTTGTTGTGTCCTTGGGCAAGAAACTTCACCTCTAAYGCCTCTGATGTGTGTCCCATCAGTGTATGAATGTGATTGGCACTGATTAGTCTCCATAGCTGATTGTATATTTTAGCTTTGTAGAGACATAGAGTGCTGTGTGAATGGATAAATGAGGACACAGAATCTGTCCTCTTCACTCTACAATCTGTGCCACAGATTGTTGCATGAAGAGCTTTGAGTGTCCTGGTTGGATAGAAAGGTGCTGTATAAAGTACAGTCCATTTACCATTTACTTGATTACAACAAATCAAGTGTAATATCCTCACCAAAGAACAAGAGGTTTGAGTAACTTCTGTAACTGGTTTTAACTAGGGGTGCACAGATTGCACTTTTCTCTATCAACATTAGATTGGATGGATTTAATGAGATCGCAACAAAAAACAAGTTTGTGTTTTTTCCCCTCAATTTTACAGATGACTGAAATCCACGAATTTCAAACTGCATTCAAGGACTTTCAAGGACGAGTGTCTTATGGCTGTTTTCAAAAACTTTTCAGGTCATTAAAATGATGTTTTTCTTTTTCAAATTCACAAATTTTCAAGGATTTCAAGGACCAGTATTTCAAGGTTCGGTATCAGGCTTTTAACTCAGAGCAGCTGTCACCAGTTTTGTTACCTTCAGGTTGCGTTCAGTGCGTCCATTGCTGAGGATGGACACAGCGCAGGACAGAGGAGGGGGCCAACATGGTGATGGTACCAGGACCAAAGCCAGCAGTAATCTGAAAATTCACAAAAACACTACTTATTTAAAGCTGTGCATCAAACAGTCTGTTTCTTACAGGTCCTTTGGTAGATTAAAAGGCCTCCATGTGTTTTATTGAACAACGTTCATGAGCGACACGGTTGAAGTAAAGGAAACCAGAGGAATGGATAAACATTACCGGTACTAAAGCAAACGGAGCTCATATAACTGAGGAAGACTAGTTTAATTTGTGACAGRGGTAGACAAAAGAATTTTTTTCAGGTTGTCCAGCGAACAACCTGTTGACAAAATCTGGTTGTCCGCAAAACATTTTGGTTGTCCAAAAAAAAAAAAAAAAAAAAAAAATCTCAATTAAAATGTAATTTAATAGGTAGCCTATATTGTTC